AGTTACATCAACGCCGAGGCAGCGCCGGCTCCAGCCGCGCTTAACCTCACGGCCACCGCAGACGCCCGTGTGCGGAGGGCGACTATCCGCCTGCCGCGCATTGGCAAGCTCCCGTCGCCGATGCTTATCAAGGCGCGGCACGCCCGATCCCTGGCCGCCAGCGTCTGCACCACGGGCACCGACATCCAAGCACCATCAGGCCCAGCCAAGACTGCCTACAACCACGCCCTCAAGGCGGCTATCCGCCCCAAGGGGAACAAGTGGGTCGAGTTCTGGACTCTCATGGCCGTGTGCGTGCCGGGACACGCCCTTGAGATCGACGCCATCACGCAGCGTGAAGCATTCCTGTGCCTGCGGCGTCAGGTTAACCGCGACGTCACACTCTGCGGGCTCGCCAGAGACCTCCAACACCACGTCCAGACCCTGTTTGGTGGAGGACCCGTCGGGCGACTCGTCCAGTCGCTCCAGCAGCTCCGATGGACCTGGCCCACATTTGGCATCATGTACGATGACTGGGGCTGCCCGATCAGCTGGCTGAATCTACCCCAAAACGCCTTCCTGCACATGCTGCGGGCCTCACAACGCAGGGCATTTCTGCGGAAGATCAAGCCACGGCGACACGACCTTGGCTACCTCGCCTCGGTCAGACAGGGCCTTGACCTCTTCGCCAGCACGTGGCTCGCGCGAACCAAAGGAGCAGCCAAATGCACTGCCTGGCAGCTGGCGCTCCTCCTGAACTACCTGTCGGGCGGGGACCACACCCAACAGCGACGATCCCGATCCAACACGTCGGCAGACCCCAGCCCCATGTGCCGCTACTGCGACGAGGAAGAGGAAACTCAGGAGCACACTGTCCGCGACTGTAAGTGCTGGGCCAGAGAAAGAGTTCCTCTCACCACCCTCATCAGTGACGACCAGTGGGCCCGTCTTCCGCTGCACACAAGACACTGCGGGCTCTTCGACGAAGACCCAGCCCTCCTCGACCTGCAGGCCGACCTCGCGAGGGACCCGCTGCCACAGCCCATCCCGCGGCCCCCCCCCTGAGGGTGATCCTGCGGCTTCAGCCCAGGACACCTACACCACCTACCTTGACAACGACACTGGATGGACATGGGTCTATGCTGCCACGGACGGTGCGTGCACCAACCAAGCCATCCCACTCCTAGCACGAGCGGGCTACGGCGTCTACTACGGCATCGACCACCGCATGAACTACAGTGCACGCGTTCACGGCCTAACGCAGAACGCCCAGGTTGCGGAGACCCTTGCCATCGTCCACCTTACGGCGTGTGCCGAACGGCCCGTGCACGTCTTCGTGGACAACCAGGCGGTGGTCGATGGGTTCCAAAGCATCATCGACGGACATCCAGCGCCGCAGGGCACGCACGCGGAGCTCTGGGCAATGATTCACCGATGTGTCATGGCCAAGCCCGACATGTTTCGCGTCGAAAAAGTCGCCAGCCACCTGGGAGACCTGGGCATCGACCTTGGGCTCATCGGGCCCATCGCGGAGGAGTTCAACCGTCAGGCCGACGCCCTTGCCACAGCGGCGGCACGCACGCACAACCTCCCCGACGACATCGTTGAAGCTGCCAAAACACGACATCGCCAAGCGACCGTGCTTCACGGGGTCGCTGTCGCCATCTACGAGCGCAGACACCGTACTCTGCCGCTCCCACACCGCAGGGCTGGGTTTACAGCGGCTGAACTCAGCAAAATGGAACCGAACCCCCTGCTGTCGGACCAGGCACCACCCGCGGCTGGACCAGACATCCCGCAGAACCCGGACGAGCTCTGGGCCGAGGCCCAACGGGCGATGTACGACGAACAGGAGGACGACCCGTTCGGCTTCGGCGGGGGACTAGACTTCCTGGACGACGGGCCAGCCAGCGCCAACCTTGCCCCGTCGGGCATCCGCACGACGCCCACCTCGACTCCGCCACCGAGAGCGGCACCGCACCCACATGATGACGTCGCTCACCTCCAAGACGCCGACGAGGACTTTTATGATCCCCTCGGATTGGGTGGCAGCATAGACGACGTCCCGCCGACACCCCACGCTGCCGACGATGCCGCTTCATCGAGTCGCCACCCGGTCACGCGGCCGACCTCTGAGCCCTCGCACGGCATCATGATTGGCCCCTCCGTGCCACCAACCCCGCCCCCCCACCAGCGCCAGCCCGCGGGGGCGGCTTCAGCCCCCCCGCAGGGCACTGAGCCAGTCAGGCCGTCGCGCCCCGTCCACGCTCCTACTGTTGCAGGCTGCGAGGCTGCGGCTCCTCCGTCCTCATGGGGCGTGGCCCCAGCGGCTTCAGCCCTGGGACCGCGCGACACCCTCCAGTCGCCTCGCCACGGCGACGGCCGCCAGCGCACGGACCGCCGCACCGCGCTGGTCCACCACCTGGCCAGGCGCACCGATGACCTCGTCCCCGCCGCGAGGCCCGCGGCCGCGGGCACAGAGCAGCCGCCCCGCACCGACCGCGAAGCCGAGCTGTCCCAGTCTATGGCCGCTCTCCAGCAGAGGTGCGCAGCTCTCGCCGCCGACCTTGCCGCTGCCCAAGCCCGTCAAGGCCCTTTGCTCCAGCGCCTCCACCGCGCCGGTCGTGCCTTCGCCGAGCTGCCTACACCCCCGCCCGATGGTGCTGCGCCGCCACTCACCCTCCATGCTTTGCTGTCATCGCTCCGCGGCGCTCCGGCTGGAGCCCCGCGCTAATCTCCGCCATTCTGCCTGCCCGTGTGCACGCGTGGCCCCGCGTCCACGGCGTCAGGGCGTGGGGGCGGGGGGTGCCCCGTCCCTGCGCGCCGCGCTGCGGCCAAGCGCCCAACTGGCGGTCTGCCAAGCCGCCTAGCCACGTGTCCGCACGTCGCCTTTCTTGTTGGGGCCTTCTTCGTCACGCGGTCTGACACGTGAGATCTTCACAGTCTGTCCGCCGTCCGTAGCTTCAGACGCAATGCGCCGGGGGAGGGGGTCTGTTGCCCGCCCTCGTATCTTAAGGCTGCACCGCCGCTAATAGTGTTTTGCGGGTTGTCGCACCGCAGTGCGCCTCGCGGACGGACCCTGGTCCGCCTACTTGTCCGGTCTCTCTCTCTCTCTCTCTCTCTCTCTCTCTCTCTCTCTCTATATGTATATATATCACTCTCTCTATCACTCTCTGCCTCTCTCTCTCTCTCTATGTTTCCCTCTCTATCTCTCTCTCGCTTCTTCTCCCTCTCTGGATTCCGTCCGTCTCTCCCTCTCTCCCCCTCTCTCTCTATCTCTCTCTCCGTATAGGTACATACACTTTGGTATTTCTCTCTCTCTCTCTCTCTCTCTCTTTCTCTCTCTCCCTCTACCTGCTGACTTTCTTTACCAGACATCACCTGGCCCTGCTGTGCGACCCCCGTCTGTACTGGATTGTTTGCATATGTCTCCGCACATGTACGAACAAAAACTTAAATCAACTACTAGCTCTGCCCTGTACTCCCGGATATGGTCTCTCTGCTCTCTAATCTGTCAATCTTTTCATTATGACCGTGGCCGCACGTCTCTATCCCTCTCTCCCTGTCTTTCTCTCTCTCTCTCTCTCTTTATTTCTATCTCGCTGCTACTACTCCGCTTACATCACCGACCCTCTCAACTCAGTCTAAACTATGGTATCACGTATATGTGTATATATGTACACAAATACATATACATGCACACACTATATTACATCACCTACTCTGCACTTTACTCTCTGATCTATAGTCTCTAACCTGGAATCCAAAGACCATGAAAAGAGCAAACTCGGGGGCGGCCAAGAGGGGGACGTCCAAGAGGGGGGGGGCGCGAATCATGGCCAGCGGCACGTGCGCGGCCCAGCGGGGGGGCCAGGAACGTAATGAAATAATAAGAGGGGCCATGAAATCAAAGGAAATATCATGGCCCACGCCATGATATCCACCTCCCCCTAGTCATCACCCCCATCTTTGCCGCCCCCGACAAACTGGCCGTCTGCCGAATCTGCCCACAACCTGGAACAGAGAACCAGGAAACCTGGCCGCCCACTGACATCGGCCCAATAGTTTCACTGGAACCCAGACCCGGGAAACTGGCCACCCACCAAAATCAGCCTAATAATTTCGCCAAATCCTTTGGTTTTCACAAATCCCTTAGATGCAAGCAGTTACTGGGAATTTGGCCGATCAAACGCTGGTGAATCGATCAAGCGGTCAGGTTCAAACCAAGAGCTCTGGCCGATCAATCGACCGACCATCATGTGCTAACCAACCGATCTGGCCGATCGTTCGGTCAAATGAGCAGGTCATCCGATCAAACGATCACCCGACCAGCCACCGAGCAGGTGATCCGCTGATCAGCCGCAGACCAGCCGATCAGCCGATCAGCCGCCAGGCAGCTGATCGTTCTTATCGGCTGATAGGCTGATGTGCGGCCGATCGGAAGACCTGGCGAACCGAATAATCATCTGGGCTCCAATAATGACCCTAGGGAATTGCCGCAATATCTCATTATTCTTTTTTGTCATGTTGATTGTCATTCGTATTCGTCTTCGGCTTCGTCTTTTCAGTATTAGTATTCTTCCTCATCCTGCTCATCGTCCTCCTCCTCCTCCTCCTCCTCCTCCTCCTCCTCCTCCTCCTCCTCCTCCTCCTCCTCCTCCTCCCCCCGCCGAGCCAGAATCCACTCAGAATTGGTACAGGCCCCTTCAGCCACCATACGTCACCATACCCGACCGAATTTCTGGGCCGCACCTTGCAGTGGCGACCCATGCGCCCCCCCCTGGACGGCGACGGGGAGAAGCGAGCCACAGGGACGAGCCTCAGGTCGGGCGTGTCCTCCTACGGGCGGGTTTCCGGCGAACAGTGAAACATATTCAGAGATGCGCAAATACCCCAAAATACTAGAAACCTCGTCCCCAGACCATCTTCCTACTTTCTTGGCATGCTCCTCCTGCTGAGGGGCACGCCCGACTTGACCCCGGACGGCGACGGGGAGGAGCGAGCCGCAGGGACGAGCCGGCCTTGACGTAGTCGCCCGCCAGGAAGAGGTTCGGGATCGCGGTGCGCTGCCTCGGGCGGCACCTGCGCGAGCCCGGCGCGAAGTGGGTGGCGGCGCCCGGGGCGCGCAGCACCACGGCCTCGACGCCGGGGGCGAGCCCGGCCTCCCCGAAGGCACGCGGGTCGGCGCTGCGCAGCAGCGACAGCGCGTACTGCGCGACCTCCTCTTTGGAAGGGACTCAGGGACACACGAAAAAAATCACAGAAATACAAGGCTCCCCCATATTTGTCCATATGTTCTGGGTATTTGTCTTCCCCCCCACTTCCCATAGTTTCCCATATGTTCTGGGGATCGACGATGAATTGTGTCTGTGTTTCTCTTTCCCTCCTGATCTTTGGACGCCCGAAATAAGTACGGGCAAAAAGGGTACAATGCCCAACAACAAGGCATTATACAAAACCAACAACAACCGCCGTTGAGCAGGCGACTTGGTGTGTTCAGTACGAGCAAGGTCCGCGGCGGCCCGGACAGCGAGCCCTGTTCAAAAGGAACAGGAACTGCTGCTGGGCACCGCACCCCCTCTTTCTGTACCCACCTCGATCGTCCCGATCCTCGTGCGGCATCGAGGCGAGGCGGCCGCGGTCGCTCCCGTAGAAGTCGACCGCCACCACGGAGCAGCCACGCAGCCGCCCGCCCGCGTAGGAGCGCCACAGGGTTGGCTGGAGGCGCTCCAGCATGAAGAAGGTGGCGCCGGTCTGGTCCAGGCCCTCGAGGCCAGAGAGCACGTTGGAGGAGAACTCCGTGGGGCAGAGGCGGTCCAGGGCGAAGCGTACCGCCATGCACTCCGTGCTCTGGATGCGGCGCAGGCCGGCCATGAAGCCGGTTCGGGGGTTGCTCAAGGTGCCCCTGGCCCAAGGTGCCCCTAGTTTGCCGATGGCTTCTGGGGCCTCTGGGGCACTCTGGGCCTCGTGAGGGGTGCTCTGGAGGCCGCGGGGGCCTCCTTGGAGATCCTGGGGTGCACCTTGGGCCCAGGGGCGCTTCTGGCAACACCCGACTGGTGCCCAGCCGCGCCTGCGCCTCGGGAGCGAAGCCCTGGAGGATTCGCAGCGTGCCCGCGGCGCCCGCGGCGAGCACCACTGCGTCCGCCTGCACCTGCTGCACTCCCGCGCCCCCGACGCTCTGGACGTCCACCGACGCCACTCTGCCTGCCCCGTCGAGGCGGACGCCGGAGAGCCTCGTGCTCGCCTCGACGGAGCCCCCGAGGCGCTCGATCTCGGCGACGATGGGGCGCACGAGCAGCTCGTCCAGCGGGCCACGGAACCATCGCACGTCGAAGCTGGACTGGGTCTTGAAAACGTAGCACCAGAGCACCCTCAGCACAACGAGCGCGGAGAGCTCTGCGGGCGGCCGGAAGAGCAGGGCCAGCAGCACTGGGCGCACGAAGGCATCGTAGAGCTCGGGGCTGAGGCCCCGGCTCACGAGGAGCTCTTCGGCGGACATGTCGTCCAGACCAGCCGATCCTTCGTCCCTCGGCTCCACGGCCAGTGCTCGCAGCAGATCTGGCACCAGACCCAGCGCGCTCAGCCTCGCCTCAGCCGATACCTGGCGGAAGAAAGGGGACGTGTAGGCCAGCGTGCCAAACGGGGCAGGCAGCCTCGGGAGCTTGCCAAAGACGGGTGCGCTCACCTCGAGCCCCCGGCCGGAGTAGAAGCCAGACCTGGTCGGGCGTGTCAGGACTGCGTCTTGGCCGCCGGGGGCGAGCTCGTCAAGCAAGGCCAGGAGGTTCGGGTACTCGGCCCAGATCCGCCACCGTGCCCCGAGGCACGAAGTAGAGTGTCCTCAGGAGATCCTCGAAGCTTGCCTCAAGAGGCCTCCGGGCAGGCCCCGGGGAGGCATTCCAGGAGACCCCGACAGGCATCCAAGAGGCCTCAGGCCCACACCCCGGGCACGGTGGCGGCACGGACCGCACAGGCGCCTTCGATACCCTTCTGCCCCGCCTCCATCGGCAGCGGCAGCGAGCCGTCCGCCGGGGTGGGCCGCGGCCACGGCTCGCCGGGGCGGCGGGGGGAGGCGTCGAGCACGCGCACCTCGAGGCCGGCGCGGGCGGCGGCCAGGCCGGCGCCGAGCCCGGCGAGGCCGCCGCCGACGACGATCAGCCGCTGGCGCTCGGCGCCGCCGCCGGCCCGCAGCGCGCAGGCCACGGCGCGAGCACCGCGCCCGCGCCGCGCCCGCCCGCCCGCCGAGGCGGCGCCCACCGAGCAGGCGGCGGCGAGGGCGGCCCGACGCCTCGCTGGCGAGGCGCGCCGGCGCGCGGTGCCCGCGGCGGGGGCCCCCCCCGGGCAGCGCCGCGGGGTCCCGGGGCGCCCAGCGGCGGGCCGAGCCACAGCCTGGCCGCCGAAGGCTCGAGCGGGGCTGGCCACGGCCGCCATGGCCCCGAGGCTGGCCGCCACCCGCCGCCGCAGGGGCGCAGCGGCACCAGGGCCGAGAGGCTGCCCGAGCCGAGGCAGCCTGCTCCGCGCGGCTCGCAGCCCAAGGCTCGCAGCGCACAGCCTGCGCCACGCTGCTCCTGCACCCCGCTGCTCGTGCCACACAGCTTGCACTTGGCTACGCCTCATGGCTTGCTCCACAGAGGCTGCACCACACAGCGTGCACCACGTAGCTCGCACCACACAGCTTGGCACCACATTTGTGACGTAGCCTGGCGCATCCTGGGTGCCAGAACTTACTGCTCGGGCCCCACGCTCAGGAGCGTACCCCTCTTCCTCCCGGAGCTGCCTCTTCGGGCGCTCGGGGGCAGGCCCATTCAGATTCCATATACATATATATATATATAAGTATTAATGTACAGATAAACACATAAACAAATAACTATATATACTCCTCCCCCACACACACCCTCTCCCCTTCCGCCCAGCCGACTCGCACGTCCCTCCCCCGACAGGAGAGCGCAGCACCGACGGGACCACGTCCGCGCTGCGCCGCTTCAGCGCCGCGAGGAACGTCTGCACGAGGGCTGCGCGGCGGTCCTCAGGTCTCGGGCGGGCCAGTCGTCAGGCGAGGGGCGCTGCCAGAGGCCGACTACCGACCAGACCACCCCAACCCACCCCGAAGACCCGAATTTCGGGTTGGGGGGGTACGAGTTCCACATTCCTCTTTCCTCCTCCTCCTCCTCCTCCTCCTCCTCCTCCTCCTCCTCCTCCTCCTCCTCCTCCTCTCCTCCTCCTCCTCCTCCTCTCCTCCCCCTCCTCCTCCCTCCTCCTCCTCCTCCTCCTCCTCCTCCTCCTCCTCCTCCTCCATGAGGTTTCCAGTGTTCCCGGACCCCCCCCCCCCACTGGAAGTGGAGGGCAAAGTGGAGCCTTCGGGATTGGCTTGGGGTAAACTGGCGGGTGGCGAGAGGCGGCCCTGGCCAAGAGCGCCCCCGGCTTCTCGCGCCGCGGGGGAGGCCCCGGGGCTCTCTGGGCCTCGTGAGGGGTGCTCGGGAGGCCATATGGGTCCCCCTGGGGAAACTGGGGCTACCTTTAGGTCGGGCGTGTCCCCCTACATGCGGATTTTCGAGGAACAAAATGCTCAAAAATGCCAAAACATATTCCAGCATGTTCCAAAAAACGTCCCCAGACTAGTTTGCTCTATTTTTGAATATTCCTCCTGTGGAGGGACATGCCCGACTCAAGGCTACCTTGGGCCAGGGTCACCGCTGGCGGCACTCGATCAAGGGTCTTCAACCGGCCAGCCTGGGCCCTGCCGCATTCCGGGTGGCTGCCCGTCTGTGGGCGAAGCCTGGCTATCTGACTCGTGCACCTGGAGCCAGGCGGCTCCCGGAGAGGTCCTCTAACGCTCCTGGAGGCCTCCATGGGCGGGCCTCGAGCAGTTTTGAGGCCGTCCTGAAGGGGCCTTGTCCTCGTCTTGAGGCCGCTTGGGGCGGTTGTGGGAGGCGCCTTGAGCCAGTCTTCGAACCTGACCGAGCGCACGAAACTCATCTTTAGAATGTCGTCGAAGACAACAGAAGACAAAATCATACCGACGGGGCTGCATGAGATTCATTAAACGGCATTGCGGAGCAAGACGCACATGAACAGTTAGGCACAGCACCATAATCCGAGATGATGGTTACACGCTGTTTCGACTACGAGCAGCCGAATCGGGAGAGAAGCACGAGTACTCATCACATGCACTGCATCGACGACTGCGAGACGCAAGAGCAGAACAAATACACCACTCAGGGTTTGCACCACGAGGGTCACAACAAATCCCTCGCGCAACGGACGTGCGGCGGAGGACTTCCGCAGCCTCCACCCATCGCGCGCAGAATATAGCCTGCTCGCCAATGACCGAATGGGAGCGCATGCGGAAGGACTGGCTCAGAAAGGAAAACATTGACCCGGAATCGGTTGGCCCTGCGGAAGCGAAGCCGCAGGCTTCTGGGCGGGACGGGCTATCAGGCCGCATCGGCGATGAGTGGGGGAGTCCATGCCCTCCCCCCTCTGAGCCTGCCCCCCCTGTCGTTGGGAAGGTACCCATACGCTATGGCCAAGATTCCGAGGCGAATCCCGCCGTGGCGACGAGAACAGGGCAGCGGCATCGGAATCCCCGTCCCTCCTCTGAGTCGCTGGCCCGAACGTTGCCCCCGACTCTGGCCTTCGGGTATCAGCTCGGCGCTCCAGCGGCCGCTCGGGACGATCCGGGCACCCCTGGAACGCTCTCGGTGAGGCGCGGCCGCTGGAAGGCATCCCGAGGCTGGGAGACCTCGGAGAGCCGCCGAAATCGCACGAGAACCCCCCGGAACGCTCTCTCGGCGAGCGCAGCCGCCGGACGGCGCTGGGAAAGTGGGAAACCTCGGAGAACCGACGAACATCACTTTTGTTCGTCGGTAGCGAGCAGAGGCAGTCCGCTCCAGCGCGAGGCGAATCGGGGCAACCGAAAGGCGAATCGTCCGGCATGCAAGAGGAAGGAAAGAAGAGAAAAGAGAGACCGACGAACGTCACACGAAAACCTTGGGTTAAGTCGGGCGTTCCTCTACGGGAGGACTATTCAAAACTAGTCAAACAAATAAACCGGAGACGACTTTTGAACTACTTTTGAATATTTTGCCGATTTCTTGAGCACGCTTTACTTTTCATCCACAGTCCCCCAGTCATGGGGACACGCCCGACTTAAACCTGGGAGACCCCCTCCCCGCCGTGGCCCCCAAGCGGCGCTGCCGCGGGGCGTCCTCGCTGGCCCCGGGGACCAGCCGCCCGCTCTGCTCCAGGGCGCTGGCGGCCACCTCGGTCGCGAGCGCGCGCGTGGCGATGCGCTCGCTCTCGAGGATGCGCTCGAGGAAGCCGAGGAAGCGCTCCTCGGTGGATCCCGAAACGGCGAGCGAAAAACGAAGTGAATTTCACGTGGGTTTGTTGTAGTCTTCACTCCTGGTCGAAAGAAATCCGCACGAAATTCACAAAATCCGGAACAACATTCTCCAGGACAATGCAGGCCCATCCCATTGTTTTTCTAACGAAATCCGCTCTGCGATCTTGGCACCATGACAGGGAGGGGGGGGGGGGGGCGGCGGTCTCCTGAGAAGGCGGGGGACTTCTCAAAAGGCCAGGGGGCCGCTTCAGACATGCCTGGAGGCTTGTGTACGGCTGGTCCGCGTCGCGATGTCGCTTTTGACGTCGCGTGGATCACTCAACCTTGAACGATCGCGGCTCTCTGATAGCGCAGATCGCTCGACAGCGGCTGGTTCTGGGCGACTGGCAAGGTGTAATCTTGAACGCCCTCGCTGGGGTTGCCTTCGCGTCAACGCGGCGCAAATTCGCCGTAACCAAACAGGCCTCTTCGGAAGCCGGGAGGGCTTCCGAGAAGCCCCCCTTGCCTCCTCGCACAGTTGGACCTAGGCCAGAAGAGCATCCCTCAAGAGCATGAGACCCTCCGTCGGCCAAAACAAACAGAACATCCAAGGGCACCCTCCCCAGGATGCACAAAACATCAAACAATCACTAAGAACGTTACTCCGAGTTTTTTAATAAGCGTCGGGGGGGCATCGACCCCCGTCGAGGGCAGCCACCGCGCGCCGAAGGCGCTCCCACCCCCGTCGCGGCGCGACGACGAGGCGAGGTTGACCCCCGTCGGGGGGTACCCCCCACGCTGATTAAGAAACCCAAAGTAAAAGTGGGGTACCCTCCCCGAGCCGACCTCGAGCTTAGACCTCGGCCCGACTGCAGGACGACGAGGATGTCATGGTGCGACTCGCTCGGGGCAAGTCCCAGGGATTCCAGAGCACCTGGCGGCCCTCGCCTCTGGAGCCCGCACGGGGCAGCTGGAGGCACAAGAAACCTTCCACAGGAAACCCAATCGGGGATGGACAGAACCCGCTTTAGCAAAACGTGGTTTCGTGAGAACGACCCCGGGACCAAACCTGGCAGGCGCAAGCCTGGAAAATGACGGCCGCGGCGCCCTCTCGAGAAGCGAACTCGGACAACTCACTAGTCCACGTGTCAGGGTGGGGGTGCTGTCCACCCCCAAAAAACCCAACCCCGAGACCCCAGGACATCCAGTCGTTTTTTCTTGTTGCTTCCGCCCTCTTTTTCTCCCTCCGACTGCCGAGCCGCCGCCGCTCCCGCGTC